CATCTCTATTAGGCGCCCAGCATCCAAGACCATTATCCTACAGATGAAAAAATTGATAGAAGACGTGAGAACTACGTAAGTAATGAGCTGATCTTTCCTTCAGACCTATCATAGTCAATGATGGTATCAAGACGGTGGGCAATTGTGAGAACGGTGCTGGAGGCGAATTCTTTGCGAACCGTGCGTTGAATCAGTTGGTCAGTTTGAGGGTCGACAGCAGCTGTCGCCTCATCCAGAACGAGGATACGTGATTGCCGGAGGAGAGCACGCGCCAGGCACACCAGTTGGCGTTGGCCCACACTAAGACAAAGTAACTCTCAAGTTTACTGTCACAAGTTGTTTATCCATTTCTAAGGGCTAGTTTCTGTCAAACCTCAGGTTGTTGCCGCCTTCAGCGATGGTCATCTTAAGGCCGTCACAGGAGGCCTCCTCTACAAATGGGCGGAGATTTGCCAACGTAAGGGCCTCCCATACCTCATCTTCCGAGTGAGTATTGAAAGGATCCAGGTTGAATCGAAGAGTACCAGAAAAGAGCACTGGATCCTGCAATTAAAATTTCATGTCCCAGTAGATTTAGAAAGTGAGAGAGAGAGGTCAGGAGAGGAGGAAAATGCAACTTTCTCGGCTGAAGCATACAATTTGACACAAGTAGGTAGAAGCACGAACAATGGAAGGAGCGACTTGCCTGGGGAATGAGAGTGATGCGTCCACGTAGATCATGAAGACCAATCTCAGCGATATTGCGCCCATCAACCCGAATCTCCCCTTCCCTCCCTTCGATGATACGGAAAAGAGCCAGCACAAGGGATGACTTCCCCGAGCCTGTCCGACCCACTATCCCTATCTGAAAAGTAAAGCAACAACACGCTTACTTGAGCAACTTGTATCGCTTGTCGAGTTACAGACATATCCCATTCCACCACAAAATGTCTACTTACGATCCAAGCTCAACAAACGACATAAAGTCTTAATGAATGTCAATCAAGGAAAGGTTTCCTGTGGAGATGAGACCAAAGCTATGAATGTTGCAGAGTACGTTGCCTAGGTTCTCCTGTCCAAGTGGGAATCTTGAAAGTTCCCATAAAATAACAGGGACACACCTTTTCTCCAGGACTAATGGTGAACGATAAGGAGCGAAGGACAAAGTCAAGATCATCTCGATAGCGGGTACTGTAGTTGACAAACTCAATTTCTCCCTGTGGCCACTGAGGTGGCGGCTGTTTTGTTGGTACATCCCATGGTGCCTGAAATGTAAACCAAAGAAAGAAACGAAAATGAATTACACTGGGCGAATTCATGTCGCTCCAAGTCACCTTCTTGAAAATGATATTCAGTGTGGAGTAGGTGAACCACTAAACATGAAACAGCATTGTATGATAAAGTGGGTAAGGAAGCGAGTAAGCTACCTCGATGGTCAGCTCGGAGTACTCCCGGATCCTCTCCACGGAGACCACATTGGTCTCGAGTTCCGTAGCCATTCGCACGAACCAACTGAGGCCCTGAGTAACATTGAGGGTGTAGCTAATCACCAAACCTGCAAAGCCCGCAGCCAGAGTCTCACGGGTCGCAACGAAGGCTACCGAGACAGAGAATGTTAGTAGATTACCCACCGTCTCCAGGACCATCGAGAGCCATCTAGTAAAACACGAACAGAAATGGAGATAAGTGCAATTTAAGTGGCTATGATAGTTGCCAAGGTCCCTCATCATTGGTCAACGATGAAACGGCTTGTAAAGTCTGGTAAGATATACCCGACACATGATCTTTTCATAGCAAGTGAGACAATTGTAGCTGGCAAGTACTGTAAGTTATATCCTTTCATACGACTGTAATAAAGGGGTCCATGAGGCTGCTCCTCTTGCCTTATATCTATTGTTCCTAGCAAAGAACACACGACGATGACAGCCGCCTGTGGGTTTGTCAACGAATGGGCTGCCCCGAGTTCAGAAGGAAAGTGCATGTGTGACCGCTGCGATGCAAAGTCCAAATGATAAAAAGGTATAGGCGAACTCACCGATTGGTAATAAGAGTTCCGAAAAGGGCACGGTTATTTGTGTCAACTCGAGTGTCGCTAGAACTAACAAAGAGGTCGCATAGTCCATAGGCCCGAATGGTGTCCACTCCGAGGAGGGTCTCTGCGAAATGCGAGAAGATTGGCGACTTGCTTACCGAGTCCAGGCGCTTCAGCTGACGACTTGTTGTTACAAAGAGATTCTACCAAAGTGAGTGAATATAGAGACACGTTATCAATGGTCGACAAATGGAGGCAAATTACGTCTAACTTTTGGGAAATTAATGCAAGTTCTATGACTGATACATCACTGTCATCATGAAAACATGTGGCTTTTGACGCCAAAAAGAGAAAGGCAAGTGATATTTGCAAGAAACAACCATTTCTAATTAGGACCCATAAAAAGTCTGCCTGCCGTGGACAGTGGCGTATCGTGAGTGTACTATCTCAGACCTCACTCAACAAAGTGGTAGGCAAGAT